CATGCCTGAAGCGTGCTGGCAAAGTGACGTTGTTGCCATCCCATCTGGAAAGAAAGTCGGCGTCATCATTCTTCTCGCCAGCGATGTGGCTGCAGTCCAGTGTGATGCCCGAAAGAGAGCTCCACATGCAAAGCTTGCGCACAAAAAGATTCAAGGGGGTTTTAGAGGTGTACAGCTTGTTGCACACAGACTCGGCCCCACTGTTATCACTGAGGGCTGGAAGTTTTAAAGCCAAGCGGCCGGCACCTGAGAATTTCCAGAAAGCAAGCAGAATAAAGCACTGTGCCAGGGTCTCGTAGCTGGAGATGTCAAGGTTGGCATCACTTTGCACAGGTATGCCCAAAGCTGTGAACTGCTGCACATCAAAAAGCTGAGAAAACCATACCATACGACCACTGGGAAACTTGAGCCAGCCTCCTACCCCGCATTGGTTACCCTTGCCAAAGGCGTCTGCCGCAGTTTCCATAGCCACCAAGGCAGGTGGCCTAAGCGGGCGAGGACGCCACTCGACAGAGCTCAGGTGCTGAAAGAAGCGGAGAACAGCCACGCTGTCCTGACAAAGCTTTCTCCGAGAGGAAGTAGGATCAGCGATCCGCATCCATATTCTCTTGGTGCTTACAGGAACCTTTGAGAGATCGGCCTTGGTAAGCAAATCGACATGACGTGCAGACAAAAGCTTGGCTCCTTTACTTACCGCCGTACTTGGAGGCGGCGATGTAAAGCGGAGTTCCTCATCCAGGTGGCTGCCAATGCCAGCCCACAAAGTGGGGCTGACACTGACATTGGTACCAAGCGGCCTGTGCATGTCGTCGTAGAGAGAGGACAGCCAAGGCCTCAAAGTGGGCATGCCGTACAGAATCCACTGAAGTAGGCCCAGGAGCTTGTCAAGCAGCTTGCGGGAGACCTGTCGATGACGAAGGCATTCCGAAACGAGCTCATAAAGCTTGGTACGCTTGGATTCGGGAAGCGAGAAGCAAGCTGAGGAAAGGTTGATCTCCCAGCCAATCCACGTTATGGTTTGCCCCAGCTGAAGCTTTTTCCAAGAAAGCGGAATTCCAAAGCATGCACAAAAGGCCAGTGTAAGCGATGCCGAAAGTGGCAAGGTTGTGCTGTTCTGAAAAAGCAGTAGATCATCGACATATAGCAGGAGAACATGCGAAAGCCAGATAAGTAGGTGTAAGCATCTGGTGAAGAAGCCGCCAATGCGGGCAAACCAATGGCTGGAAAACGTAGCCCCAAAAGGACAGACCTTGTAGAAAAGCAAGCGCTCCTGCTGTCGCATGCCCAGGAGGCCGATGTCTTTCTCGCGAACCCTGCTTGTCTTGTGAGCCCCTTTGACATCCAAGCTGAAGCCTCGCACTTCAGAGTTGTCCTCTCTAAGTGGGAAGGAGGCCTGGATGTCCTGTAAGCTGGGGAGACTGAACTGTTCCGGCACATGACAGCACTGGTTTGTATTGCAGATGCTGTTGTCGACAACTAAGCGGGGGCTACGGCCAGGTGCCTTGACAATGTTGACCTTTCCGACCGCAACTCGCTCTTTGCCCCAACGCTGAAAAGCAGTTTCCAAGTCTGGAACAACCTCAAGGTACCCCGCTTCTATTTCCTCCTCGACAAGCTGCTGCAATAAAGCGGAATCTTCTTCTGCTCCTTTCCAGTTTCCCTCGCAAATCAGAAGCTGGTGGCCTTCGTCCGGTTCTGTTTCACGACGAGGCCGAAGCGTGTGGCTTCGGGGTATATCCCCATCGAAACCTGTTGGCACACCTTGCAGCAGCGAAGGAAAGAGGGATGTGTCCTTATCGGCTACCAGGTGGCTGAGCCGCGACAGAGCTGACAAGCAATACGGCTGTCCCTCGGGAACAGAAAAATCCCAGTCCTTAGAAAGCGAGTGGCTGTCGGAGAAGCGTTTGAAAGATTGCTGAAGCCAAGCAGTCTCGCTATCAGAGAAAAGTGGTGACTCGCGATGCTCCGCAACGTGTTGAGCGAGTCTTGCGGGGATGTGCTTCTCCAATAGCCACTGCTGCCATTCCTTACGCAGGTCACGCAACAGATCTGAGTGGTACCTGGGGCCGTAGGACCAGTCCGGGGTGGAGTAGATGCCACCGCCATCCTGTGCACCAAAAGGGGGTGCACTGCGTCCTTTGCGGGGTATACACTGTAGAGCGAAGCTGAGAGAGCACAGTTCAAGCTTATCATGTGTACAGTAGCCCTCGAACAGTGGGTGGACAAGCTTGCTGTAGGGCACTGCCAAAGCGGTGGGGTATGCCGCGGTACGCTGGGACAGGAAGTTCCCTTGTGCGTCTCTTGTGCCGATGACTGAAGCGTGTTTGTCCTGGTGGGAGCATGTAGCAGCCATCGCCTTAAGTGAGGCAAAGCTGGAAGCAAACAACCATTGCTTTGCCACATCCAGACCCACTGAACAAGCAGCCACGACAGAAAGCGTGGCTTGTGTCTCCGAGAGGAAGTCCTGAACAAAGGGCTCGAGCCAGGCCATAGAGTTGGCTGGTTGCTCCAGGGAGACATGTCCTCCAGATGCGAAGACAGCGCGTAAGATACACACTGAGCGATACATCAGCTTCTGACTGGTAAGGACCCGTTGCTGCTGTTCTGGGGTATTCTCTGGAAAGCCGTTGAGAAACTCTGGACTTCGAATGGCCGAAGGGCCACCCGGTCTGAGCTTCAAGCGGGAGTACTCCTTGCATGGTGGGGCAGCGTGAGCCATCCGTACTACCCCTGAAAAAGCTAGACGAAGAATGTTGTCGTAAGTGGAGTCCTCAAGCAGATCAAGCGGCTCTGAGCCCAGTGCGTCAACACAGACGCATTGAATACCTGAAAGTCGCAACTGTTCTGAAAGTGGGGCATTGGCTCCACAACAAACATCGAGAAAGAAGCCGGGCTCGGCCCGTGCGAACGGTTGCGTAGCCTGCTCTGTAGGCATTGGTGGCTGAGCTGTAGGCTCCTGCTTTTCCCCTGGAAGCGGAAAGCCAAGGGAGCGTATATATGAGAGATGCTCGGGAGTGAAACTTGACAGGCCCCGACACGTGTAGGCTGTAAGAACCCATCTGTCGCCTGAAAAGGGGCGTGTGCAGTGAATGTGTTCGCAGGGGAAGGCAGTGCCTCTTTCAAAGGTATCAATGAGCTCGCCACGCGGAACCTCAGAGCTGGAAAAACTTTCTGAGCTTGAATCGGGAGGGGCTGGCACCAGTGGAGAGGTCGCGTTCAGAGGCGGTGTCATCCATACTTCGCCACCACAAAAGTTGCCCAGTGAAACTGAAAAGTTAGTGCTGCCTGGCTGGTTACCTGCATCAGTATGTAAAAGCGTGCGAACGTTGTGGCTCACACAGATCGAAGACCATGTGCCTTCCGGGAAAAGCAGAGAAAGAAATGAGTTCAAAAAGCGCACGATATCGGAGAATTGCTCTGTACGCTGAAAGATGCCCACTCGTTTGCCGTCGTCAAAGCCGAAGGCACCGAGGTTGAAGTAAGCATCAGCCTGAGAGATTGCCGCATCCTGAGTGGATTGCCTGGGATGCTCTGCATCGGAAAAGTAGTCCTCCAAAAGCGCCAAGCAAGTGGAGAAACTGTAGTCGCTTGCGGACATGGCAAGAGAAGCTGCTGAACTGGCTCGTGCAGCGATCTCTGGCTGAGGCTGAAGCTTTCCTTGTGCACCTGCCGGGCGAGCGGGTACACAAAGCGGGACGGCATGTACCACCTCAGTTGACTCCCGCTGGTCACCGAAGCGGGTTTCCTAGTGCGGAGTGCTCACGTGCTGGGAGGCTGGGTGTTTGCCCCCGCACGCTGACCCGTCCGGTTTGGGCACTGCGCACCTGTGAAGATACCGGCAAGTGGAAGGGTCTTTACACTGACCTTGCTGGTAGCGCATGCAAAGCGTGTGTTGCTTGCCCTCCATGAAGAGGGTGGACAGCCACTTGCCGGGGCTGGANNGTGCCCTTCTTGCCCTTGCCGCCACGCGCAGCCCGATCCGGGGCGTCCTCGTTCTGTGACTGTTGCTCGCCCTTGCCCTTGCCGTTCTTGCCGTTGCCTCGAAAGTTGGGACGGTTACCTTTGCCATCATGACGAGGTTTCCAAGTGTCTTTGAGCTGGAAAAGGTGTTTGGGTATATGTGCCCGCGGCGCAAGAAGAGTGCTTAGGTCGGCACGAACCTGGGTGACCTCGTGCAGGGCATCATCCAACTTCCAGGCATGAACATTAACAAGCTCAGCGATCAACTCCCAGGCCCGCTTGTCTGCTGCCTGTGCTTCAAGCGAAGTGGGCCCACGCAAGTTGGAGGC